GCAAGAAGAGGAGTACGTGAGGATCATTTTGAACTCCAGTCATGTAATTATTAGAATCTAACTACCTACTATTGTGGCACCTTTGTGACATATGCTTAACCTTGCGTCCGCATTAATGAAACCTTTGAAATCAGCTACTAACCCTCTCACCCAGAATCCTCACCAACTCGAAAATTTTCATACCTTTTTTCCATGGCTCCCTGATTCTCCGGGCTCACTAAACGGGACTCCTTTGAACATGGTGGCAGACAAATACCTGAAAAATAAATCTCATCAATGAAAAAGATTTTAAGAGAAAGAAGACGTTTCTGAGATAGAGGTGGAAAGGAAAGCTGTGATCAGGATGAAGACAATTTCCAAAACAACTTTATAGGCCGAAAAAAGCTAAAATATAACTAATTCGAGGAGATATAGGAGAGCTTTCTTAGCTAAGAATAGAATAGCGCAACCGCTCTGGGCCAGGGACATCGCTACACTACCAGGAAAATGGCGCGTTTTTAGACAGACATCCCCAAAATAGATAGATTATATTGTAGAGCAAAAGTTCACGCGCACCCAAGTATTTTCCAAAATTTTGGCAAGGGATTTCTTATAGGATATGGTATTACGAATGGCGTTTAGCGGTCCATGTTCTTTTTATTCTTCGCTGTTCCTTTTCAGAAACAAAAAAAAACTTATGTAGTTTTATGTAATTAAAATTTTGACTTCTAATAACAGACTAGAAATGTATCTACAACTATTTTCCCTCGTTTTTCTCTAACGGGAAGGCGATTAGAAAATGGCAGATGGCTGAAAAAAGACGTGAACTCGCTAGTGTAATGGTATTATTTCTGCATCAAAAGTCTCTCTAGAAAAATCAAAATGAAATCAAATAAGTGAAGCAGCTTTGCCTTTACAGATGTAAATTTAAAGCAGAAAGAGAGCTATCTACAATATCTTGCTAAAATTTGAGAAAATGTGGAGAGACAAGCGTTAGGAAAACCAGGAAAGTATGACATCTAATCTATGCTCTTAGTTTTTGCTTCTCCTCCTATTGTTTTTACTTCTACTCTGCTCGATGCATCTTGGGGGACCATATAAAATAAAACACAATTTTTATCCTAAGCAAATTTGTACTGGTACTGAAACTAAGTAATAATGTACCGAAAAATGAATTGCGCAGTAAAAGCCAGAGTGCAAGTGCGCAGTAAACGCGCTCCAGTCAAAACAGTGACGTGTGCGATTTGACCGTGGAACTCAGAGAGTTGGACATGGTGAAGAGGTAATATGTGCTAACTTCAGTGCATGTTGCTCCACTGGAGCATGTACTTTCGAATTCACCCAATTCACGTCACGTACGTTCTGGATTAGACAAATCGCCTACAACTGCTGCTCAAAGAATCATCAATCTGCAAATTGGGATTTTATCATCCTGGAGATGCTCTACCCCTACAGCATCTCCAGCATCGTTATCAGTTGATAGGAAAGCAAGGTATGCAGGAAAAAAACCTTTTTCTAGACTATACTTCGGTCGTTGTTGCTCTTATTGCTTTTTTACGAGCAGAGTCGAAACAAGGGCAAATCGGAGCACCTCCTGTACCACAACAATCAGCAGTGTGAATTTCGATGGTGGAACCTGATCCTGAGCCTGTTGACACCGCTCAACCGTCAGTAAATGATGGTTCAGCGCAAGTAGACGCTCCTAATCTGCCTGTTAATCTCAATCTGTCTCGTGGAGATACTACTCAGCAGCTTCCTTCAGCGCAACCCCCTTCACCTGCTATTCCCGAATTGACGGTAGCGGGAAGCGCTATGAGCTCTGTGACCGTCCAGGTGGCAAGCCCCCATATCGGTCTCAGTGAAGCCAGGACGGAAAACCCGGAACTCACTTGCAGTGAGCTCGTTATCGGTCATGGTCGACCTCACGCTCCTCATAGAACAGCCGCAATCGAAGAACAAAGTAATAGCACTACTGGCTCTCTCTCCACTAAAGATGACCCAGCACGAGAAAATGTACAAATTCATTACAAAAAAACTAAGAAGCACCTTTTCGATCTATTAACACGTTTGGATAAGTATCGAGCTGAGCCGTTTCAGAATGAATATCGATCCTTGCCACGATTAGAGAACCCACTGATGAA